GCTTGTGTAACACAAGCTCCTCATTATTAATGTCACTAATTCCTGAGCAGGTGGGCACAGGGAATTAATAATCTTTTGTTTTTGCTTTTGTTTTGGGGTCATATTCAACTGTGCCAGGGATCAGTCCTGGCAGTGGCTGGGGGTATGGCATGTGATGCTGATGACTGAAGCCAGGCTGGCCCCAGCAAGGAAAATGCCTTATTCACTGTCCTATCTCTTTGGCCCAGGGAATTAGTTTTTTTTTGTTTGTTTGTTTGTTTTTTGCTTTTTGGGTCACATCCGGCAATGCACAGGGGTTACTCCTGGCTCTGTGCTCAGGAATTACCCCTGGCGGTGCTCAGGGGACCATATGGGATGCTAGGAATCGAACCCGGGTCAGCCGCGTGCAAGGCAAACGCCCTACCCGCTGTGCTATTGCTCCAGCCCCGAGAATTAGTTTTGAGGGGGAAAAGAGGGAGAGAAAAAAAAAACACAGGCACAGGAAGGCTGCCAGTTATAATCCCAAGTGTAGGACATGGGGTCACCTGATTGCATGGAGGGTGACATCAAATAATTGTGTAATGTGCATTTTTTTTTAAAAGGAGCCTTAAGCTCTTTGCCATCTTTGGTCATCCCAGGTAACTGCAGCCACAAAGATCAGGCTGTGAAGTTTCAGTGGGGACAAGATGGACCCTGGACATGGGAGGTGCCACATCCAAGCCCACAGGAAGGGCATTCGGTTTCTTAACACAAGCTTGAGTTTGCACTCCTAGGCAAGAGGAATCCTTGACAAATAATCTGAAACAGAAGACGAAATAAACTGAAATGAAAGGCATTCAAATGAAAACAACTCACTGAGCAGTTTTCAAAGGCCGTCAGCAATATGTCTCTTGCTGATGTAATGACCGAGAGGAAACAGAAGCCTGAAGTCAGAAAGGCTGGCGGAGAAGCAACGAAGGCCAAAGAAGCATCTAAAAGGAGAGTTGGGGCTACTGCGAAGGCAGCACTCACAGGGGCAGCCACAGGCAATAGACTGTGAGGCCCATGATGTCTTCTGCTCCCGAGATGGGGAAAATGCCGAGTTGCCAGATTTGAATTTCCCATAAAGATCTGAATTTATGTTTTAAATAAAAAAAATATTTTTAAAAACTTAGAGCTTTAGAACTAGCAGTGAAAAGGGGCCTGAGGTAAAGTTGCTATAGTCTGAAAGCAGATATCCACTACTTTTGTACTATGGAAAACATTGAGTGTTCATCTCTTCTCTCTTGTAGCATATGGCTACCAAGTTAAAGGAACGTACTTGAAAGGATACTATCAAGGTAGTGCAAAGACAACCTTCAGAGTGGTAGAAAATCTTTTTAATGAAATATCATAGAAAGGATATTGATCAGATTTCAGGACTTCTTCGGTGGGGGGCTTAAAGAGGTAGTCATGTGGTTAAGGCTCTTGCCTTGCATGTGGTCAACCTGGGTTCTATCCCTGGTACCACATATGTTTCCTCAAGTATCACCAGGAGTGACACCTGAGCACAGAACCAAGAGTAAGCCATGAGCACTGCCAGGTGTGCCCCAACTCTTTCCCTCACTCCCCCCCCCAAAAATAAAAAAAACTTCTTATGATACATGCCATGAAAAGACATCTTGTGCCTGGGTTATGGCTTGCGGGTAGAGCACACGCTTCACATGGAGGGCACCTGTAACTCCTCTCTGCAATGCATACCAGCCAATTCGGAATGAATAAAGGATTTGAATAGACACGTATACGAAGAAAATATCCAAATGGCTAAGAAGGATGTGACAGATGCCCAACATCATTAGTCACTGGGGAAAGGCACATTAAAACCACAGTGATCTAGCACTGTGTATTCCCTAGGGTTTATGTAAGTGCATAATACATAAATAAGAATAACAAAGATGACAATACAACAGTTGGTGGGGATTTGGAGAAATGTGAGTTGTCATGTATTTCCGATGAGCATATAAAAGAGTACAACTATCTTGGGAAAAAAAAGTTTATTCCTCAAAATATTAATCACAGTTAACCTATGGCCAAGAAATTCCACTCCTAGATAGTCATCTAAGAGACATGAACTTGGGCATGCCTGTTCCTAGCAGCATTATTCATCAGAACCCCAAAGTGGAAAGAATCCAAAGTGTCCACCACGGTAGGAATGGAAAAGGCTGCGGTGGTACCCACACAATGGAATATTATTCAGCTATGAAATGGAAGGATGTGCTGACACGTGCTGCAGCATGTAGGAACCCTGCAAATGTTTTGTGAGGGTTAGGAAGCCAAACCGGGCTACAGAAATAGAACACATGTGATGGCATTTACCTTCTGCAGCTGCAGGCCAGGTTGGAATTCTGGTACAACATACCATCGCCCAGCATGACCAGGACTGGCCTCTGAGCACAGAATGAGGCGTGACCCCTGAGCACCTCCGATGTGCCTTCCTCCCAAAGACGACATAGACTGTATTTATCCTTTGAGAATCCTGCAATATAGGCGAATCAGTGCAGATGGGAAGTAGATTAGTGGCTGCCAGGGGCAAGGGTGGGGAGCTGGGGTGTGCCCACTGATAGGAACGCCCTTATTGGAATGACAAAAATGTCCTGGAATTACCTCGTAATGACAGTTGCATAAGTGAATGCGTTCAAAATGACTTGATTGCATAATTGAAGAGTCTGTCCGGTGGTGTGTGAATTATAGGGTCATTGGAAAAAGTTCAAGTCTAAATCCACTAAAATGAATGGGTAATCCTCTTAGCGGGGTCATTTCTCTTGCTTTTAAGGAGAAGGGGTGTCTTTTCATGGTAAGACAGACAATTTGTAAGGTGGGGAGAATTTTGTGGATTCCTATTCAGTGCGTGTGCCCTCATCTACAGATGAAACCCAGACCAGAAGCAGTTCGTTGACAGGCACTGGTGCCCTGGCACAGGAACAGAACCATCTCCTGTCCCCACATATCTAGGAGCTGTCTGCTCGGCAGGCAGGAGTCATTCATTGCATGAATTCGCAGGTGTGCTCCCAGGGAAGCGTCCATCTCACGGGCTCTTCTTCCCAGAGGCCAGCATGGTGCTTTGCTGACTTTCTTCATCCCTAGCCCCTTGCAGAATATCGAGAATGGTCCCTCGGAAGGGTGCGCCTGGCTGGAGAGCTTTGGGGAAAGGACGTCCACCACCGCACGCCCCACTTGTCTTTAAAAAAAAAAAAGAAAAAAGAAACTCAGCAATTGGAGGTCTGACATGACAGTCCTTGTGATGGTCACACTTGGCGTCTCGTGAAGTTGGCCCTCCAGTCCTTTCCCCTCTCCAGGTTCTTCCTCGGTTTATCAGAAGCATCCTCGAGAGGAAAGAAGACCTAGAACACAGTCCCTCCGCTCTGCTCCTCCCTCCTCCCCTCTTCCTGCCCTTGCTCTGGGTCCAGTGCCATCCCGGTTCGCTCCTCCGTCCCCCAGGCGGCCCCTGCGTCCTTGGAGCCTCGGAACACTCGCATCCATCTCGTTACGCATCGCATCGTCTGCTCGGCGCCGACCTCTGTGCCGCAGCGGAACCTGAGGGAACTCCCGGAGGATGCTGGGCGGCCCCGACAGTTGTCGCGCCCGTCCGTCCCGGCCCGGCACCTGCAGAAAGCCAAGCCGGGAGCCTCGTATGCTCTAGTCTCCGCTCGCAGTGGCGGCGGGAAAACAAACCCAGCGACTTCAAAGCCAGGTGCAGAGAGGTGGCTGTATGCACTGAGCGCTCCTGGGGTGCTGCTAACCGTAGTAGCACCCCCCGCCCCCCCCCCCACACACAAGTCCCGCGTTCAGGTACCCTACCGGGTCACCAACTGAAGCGTGGGGCTGGGGTGATGGGGACACTGAGTTTTTATGTTTCCTCCCACGAGGGGATGAAAAGTAAACGCACGTCGCTGGACCGAATGTGCTGGAGTGGAGGGAGGAGGACGAGAAGGAGGAGGAGGAGGAGGAGGAGGAGGAGGAAGAAAAGGAGGAGGAGGGAGGAGGAGGAAGAAAAGGAGGAGGAGGAGGAGGAGGAGGAGGAGGAGGAAGAAAAGGAGGAGGGAGAAAAAGGGGGGGAGAAGGAAGAGGAGGGGAGAAAGACGAGGAGGAGGGAAGAAGAAGAAGAAGAAGAAGAAGAAGAAGAAGAAGAAGAAGAAGAAGAAGAAGAAGAAGAAGAAGAAGAAGAAGAAGAAGAAGAAGAAGAAGAGGAGGAGGAGGAGGGGGAGGTGGAGGAGGAGGAAAAAAGGGGGGAGAAGGAAGAGGAGGGGAGAAAGACAAGGAGGAGGAGGGAAGAAAAGGAGGAGGAGGAGGAGGAAGAGGAGGAGGAGGAAAGAAGAAGAAGAGGAGGAGGAGGAGGAAAGAAGAAGAGGAGGAGGAGGAGGAGGAGGAGGAGGAGGAGGAGGAAGAAAAGGAGGAGGAGGAGGAAGAAAAGGAGGAGGAGGAGGAGAAAAAAGGGGGAAGAAGGAAGAGGAGGGGAGAAAGACAAGGAGGAGGAGGAGGGAAGAAGAAGAAGAAGAAGAAGAAGAAGAAGAGGAAGAGGAAGAGGAAGAAGAAGAAGAAGAGGAGGAGGAGGAGGAGGAAAGAAGAAAAAGAGGAGGAGGAGGAGGAGGAGGAAGAGGAGTAAAAAAGGGGGGGAGAAGGAAGAGGAGGGGAGAAAGACAAGGAGGAGGAGGGAAGAAGAAGAGGGGGAGGAGGAGGAGGAGGAGGAGGAGGAGGAGGAGGAGGAGGAGGGGGAGGAGGAGGAGGTGCGCGAAGGTGCCTCGTGGGGAGCGGCGCGCAGGCGCACTGGGGCCCGCCGCCGTCGGCTCCCGGGTACAAAGGGAGCGCGCCGGGGTCGCGCCCGGGTGCCCGGGGGGTCTGCGGGGCCGTCGAGGGCTCCGCGGCCCGCGCCGCCCCTCCCGCCGCCCCGGGACTCGGGCCGCCCCCGAACCGAGGCTGCGGGCCCCCCCCCCGCCCTCCCCGGCGGCGGCCGCCAGCCCCGTGGCTCGGGCCGCGCGCTCCGGGTTCGATTCTGGCGCTCGCCCGCCGGGCCGGCTCCGCCCCGCGCGCTCCGCCCCCTCCGCCCCCGTCCCCGGGCCCCCGCGGCCGGCGAGCGGCGCGGCAGGTCGCGAGCGGCGCCCGGAGGTGAGTGAGCGAGCGCGCGAGCGAGTGGGGCCCCGGGGCCCCGCGCGGCGCCCTCCCGCCGCCCACCGCGCCCACCCCGGGGTGCCCCGCACGGTGGGCGCGGGGCTTCCCGCCCGCCCGCCCGACTTGGCGATCGCCGGGGACTTGGGACGCGCACGGGGTCGGTCCCGGGGCGGCGGGGGAGGGCGGCTTCCCCGCGGGCTCCCTGGGGCCGATCCCGGGGGGCTCCGTGCGCCCCGGACCCCGGCAGAGCGCGCGCGCGACGGCCGCGTCCGGAGCGGACCTGGGGTGCGTGCGTGCGGGCGCGCGTGCGGGCCGGGGCGCGTGGCCCTCGGGGGTCCCGGGGGGCTCCCGAGTCCCCCCGGGTTGACCCGAGCGTCTCCCCGTAAAGTTCTGGGCTCCGACCCTCCTTCGGGAGTGGCGATCGACCCCCTGGATCTCGGCCCGCGAGCGGCAGGTGGTCTCGCTGGCCCCGCGGCTGGTCCGGAGGGGGCTTCCCACCCGACCTCCAGCGGGGCGGGGGAGAGGGGACCCCGGGGTCAGCCGGGCCCGCCGAGACGGCTGGGCTTTGGGGGGCCGGGGATCGGCGGCGTCCGGGCGAGGCAGGGTGCGAGCACCCCAGGGCGCCCTCTCTCGCCCGCCGCTCCGGCCAGCGCGCCCGGAATCCTGCGCTCGCCGCGGCCACCTTCCCCTGACCTGTCCTCCCCTCCACCTGGGTCCCCGAGGAACTTTCCTGGCGGGTCGCCCCGTGCTGCCGCCGCCAGGGTGACCGGGCGCCTCGGCCCGAGTTGGCGCAGAAACGGTCCCTGGTGTCCCCCCGCGGCGCTGGCTGGACGTGCAGCTCGGCGCGCGCCGCTCCCGAACCCACGAAACCCACCCGGACCCCGGACCCGAGCCCGGTGCTCGCCGAGGGAACCCACCCCAGCTGCAACCGTGCGGGGGTTGGGCCCCGCCGTCCTGCCCCGCCACCGAGTTGGATGGGAGTCAGGGCCTGTTCGTTTTCTCATCCCTATAGGTCTGCGCCCTCCTCTCTAATTCATGACTTTTATGCAGCTTGGATTTTAGATGCTGCCGAAGTGCTGGTTCATCTGCTCATTTCACCCAACTCCCCCTACTGAAGTGTTGGACGCGGTTTACTTGATGTTGTTGGGTTTTGGGTCGCTCCCGGCCGGCCACGCTCAGTTTCCTCCTGGCTCTGCTCTCAAGGATCACGCCTGGCTGGGCTTGGGGGGGTGGTGGGGGGACCTTCTAGGGCATCTGGGATCTAACCTAGCATCTGGGTGGGCCACGTGCAAGGCAAGCTCCCTACCTGCTGTACTATTAGTCCGACCTATATGTGTGTGTGTGTGTGTGTGTGTGTGTGTGCGTGTGTATTTGTGTGTGAAACTCTCTCTCTCTAAAATATTTCTTTTGTTTGGGGGCCACACCGGGCTGTGTTCAGGGCTTACTCCCGTTTCTGTCCTCAGGGATCACTGCTGGTGGGACTCAGGGGCCCAGGATTGAGTCCAGTCAGGAGCATGCAAGGCCAGCACCTTACCCTGCAGTACCGTTTCTCCTGCTCGGGGCACATTGTATTTAATTAAAAGTAGTGTAAGAGTGAATGGGCCCTCCGAGTGTTTGTAACAGTGGATTTGGGTATCATCACAAAGCTATGTAGTCATCACTCCAGTCTCTGCAGAATGTTTTTCTAAAGGAATTCTCACACTCTTCAGCAGTCATGCCCCGTTCCTCCGTCCCCAGCCTCCGACTCTCATGTTTGGAAAGTTTCCCTGGACAGTGAGTGAGAGAAATGGAGAGATGATTAACTTGGGCCTTTTTCAGTTAATGGATTTGGGGTGAGATATTGCTGCTAAGACAGTGGGGGGTTCGGAGTGGGGAGGAATTGAGGACTGTGGTGTGCTGAGATTTGGCTGGCTAAGGAGGAGGAAGCCTCCGCGGAGAATTAACTGTCCACATAAATTAGGAATGCAGATATGTGCCCGTAAACTTTTGAGGCTGCTTTGGGGCACTCTTCCTGTGCTCCAGATTTGCCAGGTCCACAGACAGCTTTCGCTGAGGTGCTAATGTCTGCAAGACTGAGTTATGGAGCGTGTGAGTTGAGCCTGCTTGGGGGGGGAAGGAGATGTCCGGAGAGAAGGCATGCTGGTTTAAAAATAGTTTTGTTTTCTCTCATCCCATTTCCAAAAGAAACCACAAGCAAAACGAACGACCATTAGAATCGATGATTTAAGACGGGTTCATTTCATGGGTATCAGCATCTGTGTAGAAATAGTCTGTGAGTTCATTGCTTTTGCCTTGGCCCTGTCTTCCAGGGAGGAGGCAGGAGAAAGGGTCTGATTGGAGGGAGGGAGAACAGGAGAGCTTACAGGTGGGCTTAGCACAGTTGAAGGGGTTGCGGATTCGGAAGTAGGAAGGGGGAGTGAAATGACACAGAGGCCCTTGACTGGGCCTTTGTTGGATTTCTTTGTGCTTAAAAAACAAAAACCTTTTCGTGAGCAAAAAGTCTCAGCTATCCAAGATTTTGCCACATCCACACTGCGTTGCTGCCCTCCAATCAAACTTGCTTTCAGATGTTACAAGGAACGTGGGGCCTCTTCCCCTGGCAGTTTGACTTAACGCTGAACTATAACAGACATACAGATCTGAAGTGTACACTCTGACACGTTTTCACAAAGTGCCCATAACCGTGTGATCGGCACAGAGACTAAGAAATGGGACACAGACATTTTGAATTGTTTCCCCATCACTGTTCCTCTCCTAGAGATGCCCCAATTCTATTTTTTTTTCCTTTATGGGTCACACCTGGTGATGCACAGGGATTACTCCTGGCTCATACACTCAGGAATTACTCCTGGCGCTGCTCAGGGGACCCTATGGGATGCCGGGGATTGAACCCAGGTTGGCCACGTGCAAGGCAAACGCCCTTCCTGCTGTGCTATCGCTCCAGCCCCAAGATGCCCCAATTCTAGATTAGTTGTTTTTATCTCTTTCCAGTGCTCTCTAGAGGTGGGATCATGTAGTATCTCTTTGGTATCTGGCTCATTTCTCTCCATATGATGTTTATGAGCTTTGGTCGATCTGTTTGAAGTTCGATAGGATAAGTTAGGGTTGGTAGGATTTTCTCCAGTGGATACTGTGATTATGAACATTAATTCGGGAATCTGTTTGGACTCATGTACCCATTTACATTGGGCACATACACTCCAGAACGCAGGAGAATTTTTTTTTTAATTAATTTATTTATTTATTGAATCACCGTGGGAAAGGTTACAGAGCTTTCAGGTTTAGGTCTTAGTCATGCAAATATCAAGCACATTTCCCTTTACCAAAACTTATTTTTTACCATGAAGAACCCCAATAAAACCCCACCCCCCACCCTCCCAGTCCCTGTGGGGCAGATGAATTCTAGTTTATACTCTATCTGCTTTGATTAGATTCACTGTTTCAATAAAAGATTCACCACTATTATTTAGAGTTTACCCCCCCACCCCCAAATCAGACATGCTGACAAAGCATTGTGAAGTGATTTGCTTTCTACAGCTGGGTTCAAGAATTATATGTTGGTTTTGGATTTCTGCTATTTTACTTATTGACCCTGGAAGTATTTCTACTGAAAGTCAGATAGTTAAGAAATTGGTTTCTGTGCTCTGGAGTCGTGGCCGTGCTGGAGAGCTGCTAGTGGGGGGCAACTGGTGGCCTCGGTAGGGCGTGAAGGGCGGACCGAAACGCCCCCCTTCCCATGAGGTTTTAGTCGCCCCCACACCCCCGGCTCATACCGAACGCAGGAGAATTCTTAGAGGCTGTGGTTGACACCCGCCTGAGCCCTCTCTCAGAGTTCTGCCCTCTCTCCTCTTACATGGTGGAAGCAGAAGATGGTTTGGCAAAGGCGAAAATGGTCCCAGTTGAGCCCATCCTAGAGGACTGTTGTGTTCGCTTGCACTGCTTTGCCAGGCCTCTTCCTATTTTTATGAAGATATACATATACTTTATTATGTAGCACTGTCCTCCCGTTGTTCATCGAGTTGCTCGAGCGGGCACCAGTAACGTCTCCATTGTGAGACTCGTTACTGTTTTTGGCATATCAAATACGTCACGGGGAGCTTGCCAGGCTCTGCCGTGCGGGAGGGATACTCTAGGTAGTTTGCCGGTCTGTACTTTATTATGAAGTTCTAAAAATTCAATGCTATCCTTTATTAATACTCTATCTTAATATTAGTTTCGGTAATGTTTCGGGGGCTATCAACTAGAGCTCAGGGGCCATAGGGCCACTCCTGGTGATCCTTGACCCTGCTATGCTGGCCAACCATGTCAGGGCTTGAGCCCATGGTGCTTGGGCCTTCCGGGGCCATCCGAGCCATGCTCAGGGGTTATGTGGGAAGTTCTGGGGAATTAAACTCAAGAACATTGTGCCCCCGAGGGATGCACTTTGGCCCTTGGTGCGTTTTAGTCTTTGCATAGCCGCCATCCCATAAATAAGTTTTCATTTCATGATCTTCTGTGATTGGGAATGTATGTTGATTTCAGGAATTTTATAGTATGTTCTGTTAAAAAAATGACCTTTGTATATTTTACCTTTTTTTTTTGTCGAGGAATGTGGGTTACATATCTGGTGATGCTCAGGGCTTTACTCCTACTCTGGGCTCAGGAATCACTCCTAGAAATACTTAGGGACCATATGCAGTGTCATGCGGGATTGACAGGGTCAGTTACCTGCAAGACGATCACGATCACGACCATCCTGTTGTTCGTCGACTGCCTCGAGCAGGCCCCAGTAACGTCTCCTTCGTCCTAGCCCTGAGATTTTAAAAAGTGCCACATTCAAGGCCCTATCAGGGTCAGGAGAATGAGACCCATCATTGTTACTGGTATTTGGCATATTGGGTACGCCACGGGGAGTTTGCCAGACTCTGCCGTGTGGGCAGGCTACATTCGGTAGCCTGCCAGGTTGTCCAAAGTAGGAATGAGATGATAAGATGTCGCGCGGCCGCAAATGCATCTCA